TTGATATTATAGCATGTTCGCGAAGGGGACGGAACTGTCAAACTGATTAGCTCGAACTCTGGTGAGAAATAATAAAGAGATTTTCCAAGCCTTAACTCCTTCGCAAACTCTTTTCTTCCGATTTGCATCTTGTCTTCCCCTGACAATCGGAAGTAGCCTTCAACCAGAAGAATGCGCAATGCTGTCGGACGAGGTGAACCGGATGGAGAGTGGTCAGACGCAACCGATGGAGCATCAGATGAAGACGATTCGGCTTCGGACGGGATGGAGGGTGGTGAAGCAGGCCGTGTCAGAATTTTCTCGAAGAACTTCAAAACCGCCTCTGCCAGTTTTGTAGTGGCGGCCACCTCAGCACTAGGACCTTGAGGACCTTCACCACCGCCGCCGCCTCCACGACCGCCGCCGCCGCCTCCACCACCGCCGCCTCCACCACCGCCGCCGCCTCCACCACCGCCGCCTCCACCGCCGCCGCCGCCTCCACCACCGCCTCCACCACCGCCGCCGCCTCGACCACCACGGTTGCCGCCTTTCTCACCACCCTTGCCGCCTTTCCCACCACCCTTGCCGCCTTTCCCACCACCCTTGCCGCCTTTCCCAAGACCCTTGTCGGGGACGGGACCACTGTTCCCACCGTCTTCACCGTCTTCACCCTCCTCACCCTCCGCACCGTCTTCACTCTCCTCACCGTCTTCACTGTCCTCGCCCTTGGTTTTCCCGGCGGCTTCTCCGGGTTCCTTTTTGAGGATTTGCTTCAGAGACTCACCAATTTCTCGGTCCTTGTTCAGATCCTTTGACCCGCCAATAGCAGTAGAAGCGGCCGGCTCCCCAGAAATGGCAGGAGTCGATCCAGATATTAGAGAGGTGGGATAATAGTGATGCTAGACTAGAGGGAGGGAGAGGGAGTACGCTGGACGATAGTGATATAATCACGCGCGGGGGTGCGTGCTCCTCTCCATATTATAATGGCGCTAAAGTGAATAAGTGAGTGAGTGCGAGTGAATTTGCACAGCACGGGTAATGCATTTTAGCCCTGTCAGTCAGACCACCTTCAGGTGTTTCGCAATCGCGTAGTTAAGATCTTCATCATCTTACCCTTCATGACAATAATTGTGTTTGACACTAGTGGCAGTCTCGACAAGAGTCTAATATGTCTCGACAAGAGTCTAATAGAGCACTACTGCAGCATCGCTTCTGTTAGTCCATCAATATTACACTCTTGTCGAGTGGCAGTCTACATGGTCTCGACAAGAGTGTAATATCAATGGACTAACAGAAGCGATGCCGCAGTAGTGCTCATGAATGCTGACACTTATGATCACCAGGCCCTCGTAAAGCCCTAGGTGTCGAAAATGGTTGCAATGAACTCTTTCTATACTGAATAAGTAGTCTCTCTGTTACTGAAAAAGAAGTCCGGTAGGTCCTTCGCTAAATAAGATGATAGATCTGGTAGGTCCTTAAGCAAATTGGACCCCTCTAGCACAACACTCTAAGTCGTAACCCTGATGTAAATGATATCTGACTTCGGGAGCAGCATGGAAGAAGAAAATTATGTTGAGATGATCATGTCTTAATAAGTTGTAACCCAGATCATGCAATTGATATTTTGATTGTGATGTAAATGTATAGGAAATATGCTGAGATGATGTCTTGTTGAGGTAAAAAATAATAAGTTGTAACCCAGGTGATGTAATTAGACGATATTTTGATTGTCTTGTTTTATCATTAATATTATTGTTGTGATTATTATGCTCGCGCGCGACCCTATCGCCGCACACGTGTCTTGTTGAGATAAAAAGTGATAGTTTGGTCGTCATAAATCATCTCCCTTGCTGCAGAAGACGCCCAGGAGAACGCTGGTGAGCACGATAACGCCTCCGACAGACGCGACAACGGTCCAAAACAACCAGCGAGGAAGAGACGCAATCGTATTCGTGTTGCCACCTGTTGTAGTAGTAGCTTACCCACTCTGGGGCAAGTCCAACAAAAAGGGGGAAAGCGGAGGGGAATATGATAACTGAGTGAGTGAAGGAATGTACCCACTCCAGGGGTATAGAAGACGACTACGCACTCTATGGGAATATAATCCGCGTTGCCCCTTGTAACTGTTGACGTTGATAAGTGAACAGGCCAACGCCTCAACCACTAAGCCAACTGCGCAGCTAGTTGGGCAAGAGTGAGGTTTACCTAGGACTTTCCAAAGTGTAAATTTCTCGTAGTTGGGTAGTAGATAGTAGTAGAAGTATGTGCTCTTCACTACTAATTTCTATAAAGTGAAAGTACCCTGCTCACCTCCGGCGCCCGCTGTCTCGCGGACAAAGGTAGTACTTTGCGGCTCTGACATCGTCTCTGCTACCTCGTGTCAGATTGATGTAGGCTCCTCCTCTTCGAAGAAAAAAATTTTGTGGATGTTTCTACGCAGGAAACGATTCAGAGTTATTACCTCTAGAGTAAACAATTCCGAAAAACTGTTTATATGTAAATCCTCGAAAAAGTACGGTCTCCTCTTCCTTACGTGTCTACCTAGTCTCCTAGTAAGTAAACAAGTCAGATGAAAAAAACTATATTCTCCTTGTGAATAGTTTTTGAAAATTGTAGAACTATAATAGTTCTTCCTCGTGTTGTAAACAAGTAACTATACGGCCACTTGCTTAGCGGAAATGGTTTGGAAAGTTTAGAATTCAACGATTAAATAGACACGGGGTCCACAAAAAGTTGAAAGCGAAAACAAGGCTGTTCGTGCGGATTTAGATGAGGAGAGGAAATCAGTTGGAAATGGTCATCCCATGGAAGTGGATATAGTCTATCCCTTGGAAGTGGATATAGTTTATCCCTTGGAAGTGGATATAGTCTACCCCATGGAAGTGGATATAGTCTATCCCTTGGAAGAATGAAAGGGACCGCTCAGTTAATCAAAATCCCTCAGTTAGTCAATTGCCGCTCAATCAGATAGTCAATTGTTGATCAATCAGATAGTCAAGTGCCGCTCAATTAGTTGTCAATTGTTGATCAATCAGATAGTCAAGTGCCGCTCAATTAGTTGTCAATTGTTGATCACTCA